AATTCGACTGAGGAAATTTAAAGATATAATTGGCATTATTCAATGATTCGTGAACTGGGTAGCATCCCACCAAGCAAGTAAAAAAAGAGCTCCAATGAGCTACAGAGAAGGAAAGGCTTTTTAAAGGCAGACGGGGGTGACAGAAGGAAATCAGAAACAATTAAAAAGATTATTTGGGGCAAGGTCACCTTTCTTTGGGGGCATGAAAATGGGCCATCAGGTGGATTGCCTTATTAGGGTTGACCAGAACATTCTTGACTGACCAGTTAAGATTGTATTCTTGGGGAGATCCAAACTGCAGTTAGATTAGGTATTAAGTTTTGGTTTCATGACAGGTGCTTAGCATGAATGACTCCATTTTGGGCCTGTTGTCTCTATTTTCACAGTACAAACATAAAATTTTCAAATATTCCGTATAGAAATAATACTTCAAAATAAGGAAATAGGACTTATTTTTAAACAAGAAAACACTCTTTCCTATTGTTTCAATGTCTAAAAAGATAATTAAATTTCAACTTGTAATCCTGCCTTATTCGTTGTCTGTGTCCTATTGGGTTTGAAATCCTGAGCATTTGGTGAAGAAATAGCCTAAGCAGACAAATATACCGTTTTTTTTTTTTTTTCTTCATGGTGGGCCTTTTCCCCAAGGTTGTTTTTCAATTTTTATCAAAAAGAAATCAAACTTTCAACTGGTGATAACGTACTCAGGTGTTGTAAGCATGAGATGTCTATTTGAGGTAATACACAATCTTGTTTTCAACGTGATTCCACAATTTATTTTCCTTTAATCAAATTTATATTAAAATTATTATGCTATGAATGATCCCATTCCGTTTCTTTTTAACTGAAGTTCTGTGCAAACTGAAGTTTCTTATTTTCCTGTCATTATTTATTTATTTATTTATTAACGTTTATTCATTTTTGAGACAAAGAGAGACAGAGCATGAACGGGGGAGGGTCAGAGAGAGGGAGACACAGAATCTGAAGCAGGCTCCAGGCTCCGAGCTGTCAGCACAGAGCCCGACGCGGGGCTTGAACTCACGGACCGGGAGATCATGACCTGAGCCGAAGTCAGCCGCTTAACCGACTGAGCCACCCAGGCGCCCCTATTTATTTTTAAATTAAAAAAAAAAATGTTTATTTTTGAGAGTGAAATAAAGCACAAGCACGGAGGGGCAGAGGGAGAGAGAGAGGGAGGCACAGAATCCGAAGCAGGCTCCAGGCTCTGAGCTGTCAGCACAGAGCCTGACATGGGGCTCAGAACTCACTGACTGCAAGATCATGACCTGAGCCTAAGTTAGATGCTCAACTAGCTGAACCACTCAGGCGCCCTTCCTCTCATTTATTTAAAACACATTCGTAGGGGCATCAGTCTTGATTTGGGTGGCTCAGTCTTGATTTCATCTCAGGTCATGATCTCACAGTTCCTGAGTTCGAGCCCCATCCTGCATGGGGCTCCACCTTGACATCAGGGAACCTGCTTCAGATTCTCTCTCTCTCTCCCTCTCCCTCTATCCCTCTCCCCTGCTTGTGCTCTCTTTCTCTCGCTCAAAAACAAAACAAAAACAAAAACAAACCAAGACCAAAAAACAAAAATAAAACCAAACAAAAAGTGAAAAATAAAACACATTTTTATTTCAAAATAAATGCAACAGTTTGTGTCCACCAGGTAAGTGAGGTAGTTAGTTACTTAACTCCTCCAAGATGCCTATAGTAAATTATAAGCCACGGAGAATTTATACCCTAATAACTGCGAATCAAAATAAAAAAAAAAAAAAAGGAGATGGCTTACGCTAATTTGCTAAGCAATTTACAAAATTAATTTGTAACCAAGAACCAACACTAAAAATAAAACCTGTATTATGAATCAAGGAAAACTGGAACTTAGACTGAGCCAGAATTTAATACATCCAATTTTAATACACAAGCTGACTATGCACTGTCAGCACAGAGCCTGATGCTGGGCTTAAATCCAGGAACCGTGAGATCATGACCTGAGCTGAAACCAAGAGTCGGACTCTTAACCAGCTGAGCCACCCACGCGCCCCTCCTTTTAATTTATCAGAAAGTTCCCACTGTATCTAACTGAAGAAGTATTCCTCAGTTAAAGATGTGGGAGGAGAACTTGTTTGTATGCTTGTAATGTGTTTGTAATGTAGATACTCTTTCTCCCAGCCTCTCTACTCTAACAGTTTATCTTTTGCCTACATTCACATTCTTTCTTGCACTCATAGATTATGAGTCATTTATAGTTACCTAGTTACTCATAGTAGTTCCTAGTTACGTAGGCAAGAATTTAAACTCAAGCTAATGTAACATAGGTGGTTCTGATATAGTTTTTCAAATGCCCTGCAGAATTTGAATTTTATGACCTCACTCAGGAATATGTCCTAAGCCCATCCCGTTTCCTTGCCTTACTTGGGAAACTGATTCTTTTTTTTAATAACTTATTGTTTGGTCACTTTAAAAATTTTTTTTTATTTTATTTATTTACTTTTTTAAAATTTACATCCAAATTAGTTAGCATGTAGTGCAACAATCATTTCAGGAATAGATTCCTTAGTGCCCCTTACCCATTTAGCCCATCCTCCCCTCCCACAACCCCTCCCGTAACCCTGTTTATTCTCCATATTTATGAGTCTCTTCTGTTTTGTCCCCCTCCCTGTCTTTATATTATTTTTATTTCCCTTCCCTTATGTTCATCTGTTCTGTGTCTTAAAGTCCTCGTAGGAGTGAAGTCATATGATATTTGTCTTTCTCTGACTGACTAATTTCACTTAGCATAATACCCTCCAGTTCCATCCACGTAGTTGCAAATGGCAAGATGCCATTCTTTTTGACGGCTGAGTAATCCTCCATTGTACATATATCCCACATTCTCTTTATCCATTCATCCATTGATGGATATTTGGGCTCTTTCCACACTTTCGCTATTGTTGATAGTGCTGCTATAAACATGGGGGTGCATGTGTCCCTTTGAAACAGCACACCTGTATCCCTTGGATTGTTTGGTCACTTTTGATGTCATTTTTCTAGTTTATATTCTATTGTCTAAGCTTTGTAATTTTTAAATTGAAATATAATTGCCATGCAATATCATATTAGTTTCAGGTGTATATCATAGTGACTTAATATTTTTGAACATTACAAAGTGATCCCCATGAGTCTAGTTACTATCTGTCACCATGCAGAGTTCTTGCAATATTTTTGACTCTATTTCCTATGTTGTACACTACATCCCCATAACTTATTTATTTTATAACTGAAAGTTTGTACCTCTTAATCTCCTTCGCCTATCTCACCTGCCCCCCCCATATCTCCACCATCTAGCAGCCAACAGTTTGTTTCCTGTATCTATAAGTCTGTTTCTGTTTTGCAGACACAACAAAAAAAATGTTTTTTGTTCCATATATAAGTGAACTCGTTGTGGTATATGTCTTTCTCTGTCATGTTATTTCACTGAGCATAATACCCTCCTGGTCTACTCATGTCACAAACGGCAGGATTTCATTCTTTTATGTGGTGAGTAATATTCCATATATATATATATATATATATATATATAGAGTAATAGTCCATATATATGTGCATATGTTCCATATATATATATATATATATAT